CCTAATACCAACGATAAAAAAAATACACCTAGATTTTGAACCCTAGAACTCCATTATAAAATTCCAACCCAAAAACATGAACTCCAATAACGGGGAACCATTTGAAACAGTGGTACTAGATTTTTCAACAATAATATACACACTTACGGGTGAAATATATGAATACAGTAATCAGTACAAAAAGAATAGAGTTTCATTGCAAGTTATGATGATAATCTTTCATGGGACATAGATAGAAGAAAGAGTGGTTAGTTTTATTTTATTTTTTCCATTCGAAAATTGGGAACATGAATGATTAATGGGAAATGGTCATGTCATTCTACTAAGAGTGTTAAGATTGTAAGCCATGTTGTGAAGGATGATCAGAGCCTTTTGAAACAACAACAGGAGGTTCAACTTGCATCTTTAGGCAATTGAACTCGAGAGCTAATATTGGTTTAGAAAACATTACTGATATACTCACGTCTCTTTTTTCTAATGATTCCTTCATCTCCCCATCCAACAACCCTAAAACTCTTGCTGGTGATGTCGGTTTCAACCTGCCCACATCAATTGTATTAAAACACTTTGAAAAATAGGTTGAGTATTCAAGAATTCAAAATATGTTAACAATTGGAGAATGAATATTGACCATCCATTTTAAAATACTATATTTATCGTTTTTTTTCAAAATTTATGATTTTTTATTCTTCAAAAATCAATATTCATATTGACATATTGTTTTTATACAAAATACACATTTTGAAAATAAAAAACAAAAAATTATATCAGCTTTCGTCATGTGTATCAATCAAATGTAAATAAAAATTTTACTCACATATGATACATACTAGTGCATCCCAATTTGATTACAACTCATTTTTTATACACATATTAACAACAAAATGTTACTCATATGTGAATAAAATCCAATACATATAATTTATTTTCATGTTAATAAAGAATGAGTTTTAATAAATCGTATATACGGTTGGCCTTTGAATAATACGTATGACGAAGACTGATTAAAAAAATCGTATTTATATACTAAAAAGACTATATATATATATATATATATATATATATATATATATATATATATATATATATATATATATATATCCAAATCAAAAATGATGAATGAAAAGAAACCTGCACTCAATCTCACAGTAGTACTTGAGAAGCTCAGGTTTATGTTCTGTATGGCCACTGCAATTTCATATCAACATACTTTTTATTAATGTTAGAATATTTCTATTTATATTTTAACATCTAGCATATTTACCTCTTGAAATAATTGTCTTAATGACATAATGTTATAGGCCACCTCACCAACCAGTCCCACAAACAACACGCAACATGGGAGAATGTAAACCTTAATTTCCACAACTTATTATGGATTCTCACATCGCTAACACTGGGACACTCGTGTTGTAACTCTCATCATTACTAGACTAATTGCATTATGGCATGGGATTATCCCTGATAGATCTTTAATTTAATAATTTGAAATCAAATAAAACAACAAATTTACCTAAAGCTTGGAAGCGAAATCTTAATTGTGGGACCCATTCCCATCCACTTGAAGGGATTCGTCTTCAGAACTGCAATATCAAGATGATGCATGCTATTAATTTACTTGCACAAAAAAAAATGATGTTAAAGAAAGATGATATCAACCCACAAACCAGGAGAAGTAAGGCCAATATCAAAGAGGCGAGTTGTCACAGGACAATTGATTTCAACTACTTGTATATCCGTGTTACTTTCGTTACCAAGATCAACATGGCTACTAGTCATGAAACCATTGCTTCTCCTCTTTGATCTACTCGACATGGCCTTTATACTCTGCTTAATCGAGAACCACATCACACACAAGTACCATAATGTTTTGGTTTTAAAGTGAAACTAAAAATATGTAATGAAGTGATAGCTTAACATCTAAAAACAATTAACTATTCATCTTTGAGCCTACCTTTGAAAACGTGGCAACTTGACTTGGAAGCCCGAATTCCTGAAAAGGATCATCAAGAATAAGGATGGAACACCAAGTTCGTATAGATAACAAGAGTGAAGAAATTTTTTTTTTTTTTATTTCTCTCTTTACAACATTTATGCAATAAGATTATTCTTCTGGCAACCTACCGCTATTCCATCTCACCTCAAGAGCATCTCACACATGTAAATTAGATACACAGTAGTCTATAGTCCCAAAAGGATTCCAATCCAATGGAATTAGAACTCTCACATTAGGCATACTATAATGAATATGACCCCTTTTTCAGCATTTATTTCCACCAAATTTGGAATATGCTATAGAGAAATACGCAACTTGCTTCATATACAAAGTAAGAGATACTATAAACCTAAACACTTGGTATAAAAATGATATTCTTTTATTTTACCATTGGATCCATGTCACCAATACTGAAATCTGGAGCCTACCTTTCTGCCATGCCTACATGCTTCATCACTGTTGACATAAACTCTTGATGCCCATCTTTAAGCAAACATATTATAAAGACAAGTTAATTAGTCACACAGGGAAACAAAATAACTCAAGAAATCTTAATTAAAGATAGGCAAATGATCAACTCTGTATACCCATATATATTACTTCTAGGAAAAAAAACATATAGTTCTTGGAATCCCATTATCTTTTTGACATTAGCTGATTGGTTTCTTAGGTGGAAAACTAAAAGTAGTTAACTATATGTGCATGGACCTCTTGATTAGGAAAGCTATATCTAAAGAATGAAATTAACATTATAATATGCTACGATTAGATACAAGAATAAGCCAATAACTTACGCATGAGATATTGGTGGGTTCCAGACAATTCCTGAGATCACAACAAGCTGAATAAAACATTGTCAATGTAAAACAATGGACTCCAATAAAACAATGCAGTTGTGTAATTATGCATCAACCACTGGGGGTGTGATTTGATAGTTTATAGAAGAAAAAGAACCTCATCGAAGCTTCCAACTGGGCTCTCATTGTAGTTTGCAAGAAAGAAACCTCCTAGAGTGTATCTTTAGGCATAATAAACATACAATTATCATGCATTGATCAATTATTTTAATGTAAATGTGACATGAAAATCCAACTATTCATTCATGAAATTGTGGAAATACCCAAAAGCTTCAACTAATTTGAACTCTTTAGGTATGACTGCCTTTGCAATTTCTGCTTTCACTAGATGAAACTGGTACAAGGCACTGTGAAGGGAGTAATAAATAAATATAGTTTCTCTTTTTAAATGTTAAAAAAAAAACTTTAATTAAAAGAGAAATTAATTGATCATATATAGTAGGATATATATCACTTGCCTTCCTTTAAAAATCCAAGGAGGTTTACCATATCCTGAAGAAGATTTGGTTTCCTTAACCTCCATACCTATCAGGGATTGTCCCAACAATGGTGATTACGGTAATAATGGTTGCAAGAGTAGTTAAAGAGTTTGTAATTCCTTAATTTGTTGATTGGTGTGGATTTTAATATATTATTATAATTCCATATATTTGTTAAAGCACTACATGTTGTTTAAGATCGACATCGAGCATAATAATTGGAAACATTAGAAATTGTACAGTGAAAAATATGGACTTAATTAAGTTAGTGAAAAGCTGGTCAATTTATTTTTTTGTCTAACATTAGAGTTTTTTGAAATAAATAGTTGGGTTTTTTTGAAATAAAAAATTGCCACTTACGGTAAACCTGCTAATAAACCCGAATGAGAAAAATAGAAAAATATAAGGGCTTTTGAATTTTAAAAAAATGTTTATATTTAAACAAAAAAAATCAGAAAATTAAAGCTTTTATATAAAATTAACATTTTTATATATAAAGTAGTTTAAAATTTGAAAATTCATAAATTAGTTCGAAAACCCACATTTTCAAACTTTATTGTCATTTTGGCTTACTGTGAAAAATAATGGTTATTTTGTGATATTCTTTGATTAGGCGTTTTTATGAATAACCTAGAAATTAAAGTTAGTAATTATAAATGAAGTGAAACTCAAATCAAATTGTTCTCTAATATTCATTAATCTAATGACAATTGTCAAACCTTATTTAAGACAAAATGATTTTTTTTTCTAATACCATTTTAAATAAAGTAAACAAACTATCCGGCCCACTTCATGCAAATATATTGATCCAATACAATGTTCACCATGCCTTACAAAAAAAAAAAAAACCTATATGTTACCATTTTCTTACATTTATACAATAAGTAGAAAAAAAAGGTTCTAATATGATAATGAAAAAAATATATATAAACTTCTCATTTTCAATAAATCTATTTCAGTATATAATGCCATTTATTATAAGTAAAGCCCATTATGTTAGGGTCTTTTTTTTTTGTCTACTTTAATTTTATTTGGTTTTACATGATAGGAGGAGATGAACGGATTTTTATCTCTGTTTCTCAGGTTTTTCCTTTTTAACATTAGATATAATAAAATACTAATATTATATTCAACATAATATACTTAACACTATTTATATAATATAAAATGCTGATAAAGTCATAAAGGGAATCACTTGATTTAACTTTTTAGTTAACTTAAATATCATAAATTATAACTTAACCTGTGAGTGGAAAAAAAAAAGGAGATGACTTACAGGTTTCAAGATAACGAGCGATGAGATAGGTGACCGGCGACGCCAAATGCGAAGCCGCAGAGCCCACAGATGACGGAATCCGCCGGCGAAAAGCTGGAGGGGTTGATTCCGGTGAGGCGGTGGGTTTTTCTGTTCTTATTTCTTTTCGTTATTATTATTATTTTTCTTTTTGTTGTTTTGAAGTTATATGAATAGGGAAAGCTAAAAGTTGTGGTACCTGTTGCACGTTGGGATCATCAAACCCCACCATATCCAATCTCCTTACCTTATCCATCTTTCCCAATCATATTTACTCACTAAATAAATTAATAATATTTACCTTGTCCATTTTTCCATATCATATTTGTTTAAAGCCTAGTTTTTTGTTTCGTAATTAAGATGATGACCAAAAGATGCATTATCCTCCTTCGACTCTTTGCAGGTATGAGCAGCTGGATTCACTAAGCTCTGCAGTTAAGTCTCCTTTGAAGCCATGGAAGTGCAAAATGGAGATGAAAACTGAAAAAGAACCTGAGTTCATACTTCATTGAGATCTTACTTCTGACATAATTTGAGAAGTTCTTTTGATTATCTTCTTGAATCCTCAGATATATAGAAGTAAGTTCCTGTTTATATGGTAGTTATTTGTCTACATTTTTTCAGTTTTCATTATTCTTGTTACCGATGATCCAGTCTCTATACAAGTATAATATTATTTATACCTTCAAACTTTTTCATTATATCACTGAAAATTGCTTTTTATTTGGATGATATTGGTATACTTGATTAGATCTTTTGAAATACAATGATCAATGATGTGATTGGAAGAAACGAAAGCATGATGTTATAAGAAAGAAAGAAATAAAAATAAATTGCTATATATTGCATTTAACGGTTCAAATTAGACAAGATTTTTGTTTTTCGCAAGAAAGAGAACAATCTATTTCCTCAATCTCATAAAACTTGTAACAACGTCTTTCCTGTGATTTCCCATGAAAATTGCAATTATTCTACTTTTGACAAAATTTGGAGTTCAAATTACCTATTTCTCCATTGTCATAATATTGATATCACAGATTTTTGTCTTGCAAGATCCTCATATTCTATGTTATATAAGTTTTTTTTTTTTTTTTTTTTTTTTTTTTTTTTTTTTTTTTTTAATGTTACACATCATTTTAGTTTCACTATTCTTGTTATGATGTCCCTTTGTTTATCAACAATTTTTGAAGCTTTAGTTACCAATTTAATGATTATAATAAGGGATAGATGAACATTTATTCAACAAAATTTTATGTTTTTTTTTCTATTTATGCAACATAGTGGTGCAACAAAGTTTTATTATAGGAACAAAAGATGCAACATTCTATATTTTTTAACCGGTTAGAAGAAGGGTGCATAATTTGCATAAGTTGCATAAATTGGTAAAAAATAATGCATTGTTGTAAAATTTGTAAAAGCTAAAAATTGTGGCATAAATTGGTAAAAAAGGTGAAATATTTTTAAGAATTTAACTGATGTCATGTAGGGTCTAGCATTTGGACCGAACCGGAACCGGAACCTGTTCAGAAACGCAACAGGTTTGGGAGAAATCAATGGACCGTCGACCAGACCGTTAGGTGCATACCGGTGCGGTTTTCCAGTTGGAATCATACAACATGCAATGTGTATGGTACAAGTCGATGAAGAAATTGCTATGTAATAGTTTAGATGAGTTATTTGAGTAGCTTGAACATTTACAAGTTTATGAGTTATTTGAGTTGTTGTCTTAAATGTTTTTAACAATTTCTTTTTAAAAAAATACATAATTTACTTAAAATGATGTTTCTAACGTCAATCATGCAATCATAAGATGATGTTTATTTATGAAAATGTTGTAATTACGTAAATAAAAAAACTCACAAAAGTAATTATTGTGACAAAAACTTACAAAAGTAATTTTTCAGACCAGGTCAACCAACAAATACATTATTTTTTAAAGGGTTATTGTCACTGTAGTCCAACAAACTTTAGTATATTGGTTTAAATGGTCCATCGTGACTATTTTTTTCATTTGAAGGGCACGAACTCATGTTTTACCATTTTAAAAAGTCATTTTGGAAAATTTGAAGGGGTCACTCGGTGACACCCATCCTAATCAGTTGATTTCCAACGCCACATAATTGCCATGTAGATAAAACAATCCAACTCATTTGCCACATTGGTGTTAGTAAAAGACCTAATAAACATTTGAACTTATTCCTCAACTATCTCTTTCATCATCTTTCTTCTTTTACTTTTTTCTCCCTATCATTTGTGCAACTGTTCTTGGCACATATCCTTTTCTTCAACTGTTCTTCGCTCAAATCGGGCAAGTGTGTCGTAGATCGTTGCTATGGCTATTTACATGTAGGTTGATCTACATTTTGCCAGAATTTTTACGAGGTACCCTACAATTATTTACTCAAATGGAGGGATCAAAGGTTTGATGATTTCGATTTTGCTAGAATGGACAAGAATGAGTTTGTGGACTTCCTTTAAATATTCGCGAATGAGAGATACGTGAATGTTTATTTTTTCATGTCAGGTATTGAGTTCCTTGATGGATTGAGGCTAATAGCTACTGACATGGACTACATGGAATTCATCAAAGTAGGGTATGCTTCTGGTTGGGTAGTTCTTGTGTACATGGATCATCTTGGTGTTAATGTACATCAATGGATTATTGATGAGCAAGCTGAAGTATACGGTGCTTTAGACGAATTGTCTGGTGTAATTGAAGTTTATGAAGAAGTGCAAGGTGCTATGGATGTTGGCATTGACATGGATGATTTGCAAGGTGATATGAAGGATTTACAAGGTGATAGGGATGATTTGCAAGGTGATATGGAGGATTTGCAAGTTAATAGGGATGATTTGCAAGGTGATCAAGATGATGACATTGACATGGAAGTTGACACTGAACCTGCTAAGTGCATTCCTTTGAACAAGACAAAAAATGATGAGATTCTGAGTAAGTTGTGCCCAAAGGAGCAAGTCACCCCACACAGTCCACCTCATGAGGAGCCATATGATCACTTACATGAGGATGAGGTAATATCTAATGACCAAGATATTTACAATGAGAATGTTTATTGGAAAAAGAAGAAGCATGTATTAGGTTTGAGATTTATGAGTCCTAAACAATTGAAACACCATGATGTGTAACTATGTTGTTGAAAATGGTTATCCGTTATGCTACGAAAAAATGATAGTAGGAGACTTTTAGTGAAATGTTGTTATGGGTAGTGCAAGTTTAGAATGTGGGCTTCTTGGATGAGTGAGGAAAAGCCATTCCAGATTAAGAGTCTCATAAATGCGCATAATTGTGCAAGAAACTTCAAATTAGGTTCAATTATCAACTATTCCTGGATAGGTAGCCATTACGCCACACAATTCTTACAGAAACAAAAAGTTAGTGTTAGGCTGCTTAGGGATGAGGTTAAAGAGAAATTTGGTATAGATGTGAGTATGGAACAGTGTAAAAGAGCAAAGAAGTATGCAATTAAACTGATTGAAGGAACACCAGTGGAGCACTATGCAAAGCTCTGGTCATATGGTGAGGAGATCAGAAGATCAAATATAAGGATAACCAGTCAAAATGGATGTCGATTGTATGCCAGATGGAAAGAATTATTTTAGCAAGTTTTACATTTGTTTTGGTGGCCTAAAGCAAGAGTAGAGAGGGAAGGGCAAAAGAGTAATAAATTTGGATGGATGTTTCTTAAAGGGTTTATATACTAGAGAGATAATATATGATGTAGGAAGAGATGCTAATAATCACATCTTCCAATTACATGGGAAATTGTTTGTGTAGAAAACAAAGAAAATTGGAATTGGTTCTTGGAAAATTTTAAAGATGACCTTCAACTGGATAATGGTTTTGGTATAAAATTGATGTCGAACCAGCATAAGGTATATCCATTACTTTCTACTTTTAAATATTGTACATTTAGGTTTCATTTTTTATAACATATTACCATTGTTTTGTAGGGGCTGTTAGAGGTTGTCAAATAAGTACTGCATACTGTTGAACATCCCCCTCTGGCACGTATCACAATATTGTCCGCATAAGGTATATCCGTTACTTTCTACTTCTAAATATTGTACATTTAGGTTTCATTTTCTATAACATATTACCACTGTTTTATAGGGGCTGTTAGAGGCTTTCAAACAAGTACTGCCTACTGCTGAACATCCCCCTCTGACACGTATCACAATATTGTCCGCTTTCGGCTCCCGGCGTAAAAACTTCCCTAGGGGTCACCCATCCCTGAATTGCTCTCACTCGGGCACGCTTAACTGCAAAGTTCTTATGGGATCTGTTGCCCTCACGACTTTAAAATGCGTTATAACAAGGAGGGTATCCACACCTCTTATAAGGAAATGTTTCGTTCTCTTTCCAAGTCGATGTGGGATCAGGTGTAACCCACCTTCACCCCCCATTATATGGTTCGACGTCCCCGGCAAACACATCGACCCGTGCAACATGGCTCTGATACCATCTATAACATCCCCCTTTCTCACGTATCACAATATTGTCCGTTTTGAGCTCCCAGTGCGAAAACTTCCCAGGGGTCACCCATCCCTGAATTGCTCTCTCCCGGGCACGCTTAACTGCAGAGTTCTTATGGGATTTGTTGCCCTCACGGCTTTAAAACGCATTGTGAAAAAGGAAGGTATCTACATCCCTTATAAGGAAATGTTTCTTTCTTCTTCTAAGCCGATGTGGGATCAGGTGTAACCCACCTTCACCCCCCGCCCCATTATAGGGTTTGACGTCCTCGGCGAACACATCGACATGTGTAACCTGGCTTTGATACCATCTGTAACATCCCCCTATGACATGTATCATAATATTGTCCGCTTTGGGCTCCTGGCACGAAAACTTCCCAGGGGGTCACCCATCCCTGAATTGCTCTCGCCTGGGCACGCTTAACTGCAGAGTTCTTATGGGATATGTTGCCATCACAACTTTAAAACGTGTTGTGACAAGGAAGGTATCCACACCCCTTATAAGGAAATGTTTTATTCTCCTTCCAAGTCGATGTGGGATCAGGTGTAACCTACCTTCACCCCCATACGCAGTGTGCAAGGAATATTGTTTCCAACTTTAGGAAAAGATTCACTAGTGTACACTATGAGACCATGTTTTGGAAGGCAAGCAAGGTATCCACTGAGCCTTTATTCAATGCCGCCATGAAGGAGATTGAACTGCTTAATCCTGCAGCCTTTGCATACCTTATGGAATCAAACCCCAAATCTTGGAGTAGAGCATTATTTCAAAAGGGAAGGATGTGTGATGCAGTGGAGAATGAATTATCTGAGAGGTTTAACAGTGTGATTAGGGATGTAAAGAAAAAGCCAATCATCACCATGTTATAAGAGATTAGATTATATGTTATGGAGAGGCTATACAATTTGAAGATCAAAGGTAGTGCATGGCCTGATTAAAAACCTTGCCCAATAATTACAATCATACTTAATAAACTGAAAAGAGCTCAAAGGTACTTTCTAATCTTTACACTCCCAATTGTAATTAGAAACTAACTTATGTTCTGTCTCAAATAGGTTTTGGCAGGTTTTACCAAGTGGTCTAACCCAATTTGAAACAAGAAACTTGGCAAAGTCCTATGTTGTTGACCTGGACAAGAAGACTTGTAGTTGTAGAGTGTAGCAACTTAATGGGTATGGATGCATGCATCCAGTTGCTACTATCTCATATCTGAATAGAGATGTTGGCACTTATGTGGATCCAATTTACTATGGTGCCTTGTACAAGAACACTTATAAGTACCAAATACATGGGATGAATGATAGCAATATGTGGCCACCTACTGACTTCATACCACCTCTTCCACCATTAGGGATGTCAACGAGGGAAAACGGGATGGGGAGTGCATATCCTGCCCCCGCCCCCAAATTTCCCCGTTCCCCCGCCCCCGCCCCCGAAATGTCCAGCCTTCCTACCCCCGCCCCCGCCCCCAAATCCCCTTTATTACCCCCGCCCCCGATTTATTTTGGGCTACCTTTTTTTGGGCTAAAAGAAACATTTTTTACGTAACAAATATTTATTTATAGCAAAATTTTACATGTTAAAAAAAAGTTATGGCATCTTAAAAAGATTATACTAACAACTTAAAAACATGTTTTTTGTTGAATTTAGAAAGCTCAAAATCTTGTTATTGTTTATTATATTTATCTAATTAATATATGTAAATATGTGTATAATTTATTAACGGGGGCCCCCATGGGGTTTCGGGACGGGACTTCCCACCCCTCCCATGCCCCTGAAATTAAAACGGGGGTTAATCTTGCCCCCGCCCCTGATTTTTTTTAATAAATACCCCCAAACGGGACGGGACCCCCATGGGAATGGGGTCCCATGGGACTTTTTGACATCTCTATCCACCATTGAAGAGAAGAATGTCAGGTAGACCAAAGGTAAACAAAAGAAGAGATGTATCAGAAAAGCTTCCAAGGCACACTGTGTCTAAGGCAGGGAAAAAATTTTGTGCAGTGTGTGTAAACAATCCAAGTTTAAATACCTCATGTTCAAAAACCTCAAGTTGAAAGACTCACAAAACTAAATGTTAAGAAAAGGAAAACAGCAGGCAGTAAAAATGGTGAGGTTGGTGAAGGACATAAAGGACCCAAACCAAATGATGAAGGAGCAGAAGCATTTGATGCAGGATACAGTGGATCAAAATCAGTGGTTGAAGGAAAAAATGGAGAAAAAATCAGTGGGA